CCACCTTAGGTGTATGTGGCTGGCGCCTTAGCCGCTTGAGCCACAGGTGCCAAGCCTTTAAATTTATTTTTCCCTGACATGTATCCTTCTGAGCTTCTTCTTTTTTTGAGAACAAATCTCTTTTGCCCTGGGTAGAGTGCATGGCATCACAGCTCACAACAGACTCAAACTCTTGGGATCTCAGCCTCTCCAGGTAGCTGGGACTACACATGCCTGCCACAATGCCCAGCTATTTTTAGAGACAGAGTGTCTCTTGCTCAGGCTGGTCTCAAACTCCTGAGCTCAAGCGATCCACCTGCCTCAGCCTCCCAAAGTGTTAGGATTACAGGCGTGAGCCACTGCACCCGATTCATAGGTTGGCGAAGCAAATAGGTACTCAGGAATCTTGTTGTATTGGTTGTTGGTAACTTGGAAGAGCACTAATTTCTTGCTGCCTCTGCATACCATAAACTCCAGTTGCAATTCTGCATTAGGTTCTGGTTCCTGGGTGGAGGGGGTGGGTATGCTGGGCATGATAGCTGCAACACACAAGAAATAAAGGCTCTCTGCTTTAGAGGGTCAAGCTTTTCTAAGGAAGGAGCGTCTACACTTCTTTCTCTTTTCCTTCCAGATGGTCTTGGTGGCATTGGTATGGGGTTAGGACCAGGAGGGCAGCCTATTGATGCCAATCATCTGAATAAAGGCATTGGCATGGGAAACTTAGGACCTGCAGGTAAGAATTACAGTATACCTTGTTTCTGATGAAGTTAAAGTTATTAAAACATTTAAGTTGTGTCACAACCTTAAAAGTTAATTATTGGGATATTTGGGCTATGAGTAGCTTAAATGGAGTAAAGATTTATTAACTGGGACAAAATTCTCTCATTCATCTCAGCTTCATCTTGATAAAGGTAATTTTTTATTTGTACTGAGTTGAGTCCTTTTTTTTTAAAAAAAGCATTATACCTTTTCATTTTATCTTTATAACGACCTTCTGAGCGGAGATAGCCATTTAGGAGGCAAGCAAGAGAGTTGGTCTTGCTCAAGGTCACACTGTCAGTTAATGACAGAAATTACAGGTTTCCTGACGATGAGACCATAACACTGCCATAGTATGCTAATAAATGTGGTATCCAGGCACCGCTTCTTCTAAAGGTGGGGACATTGATAGATGCAGAAGGATAGGGAGGGGGCCTCAGTGTGTGACAGCATAGCTGTCTGTCACAGGGAATGTGGTGGACAAAGTTGCCTTTAAGAAGTCAAGGAATAGCTAATGAATGAAAGGTTTGACATGAACATAACTACTTTGTTGGTTAGAATTTTCAGTTCTGTGTAATGAGGTATTTCTGTGCTAATAAGGACTATTTCGTTTTTATGACTTTAGGCTTAGATCTTTCTTGGAATCTTTTGAAATTATAATATGGATACCCCTATATCCTACCACCCTTGATTTTGCGTGTCCCTGGTTTCTCTTCACAGTCAACTCTGTGGCTGAGCTCAAAGCCCTGAGTCACAGCTTTAAATGACTCCACCACTCTGACCCATCACCGTACATGCACCCTGTGTTTGACAATTAAAAACAAGGCTAGTGGTAGGGTGAAAAGCCTCAGTGTTGTTAGGGTTTGCCTTTTATTTTGAAGGTTTTATTTTTAACAGATTTTTAAAAATACATTTCTGTTCCCTAAAATAATCTTTTAAAAGCAAATGTTCCATAGTCTGTGTCTGATAATTATATGAATGAAAAACTTCATAGACGGTATAGAACATTAAGGCACATGATGATTATTATATTAAAAACTTAAGTAGTTTTCTTGGAATGTGATCTTTTGACAGTTGAAATGGTAGGAATAAGGCCTTTTATTTTCTTGAAAGTTAACATATTTTCATCATTGGGTTTTTTGTTAATTTGCTAGTTTGGAATTTCTTGTGCTTTTTAAGTTCAAACATTACCTACTGCTTTGACATAATTTTAGTTTGCATTGACTTTTTCTTTTTAAGGAATGGGAATGGAAGGCATAGGATTTGGAATAAATAAAATGGGAGGTAAGAAATTAAAAAATGAAGTACCAATGTAATCACTTTTAGGTGTAGTTTTCTTTTTCCTTTTTCTTTCTTGTCTTTTAAGCCTTGCATGTAATTCTCACTTTAGTTTCTTAAAAGTTTGAGTCTCATAGTTTCTTATAAGTTACTTTTCTTATCTGTCCATCACTTATAGTGGGTGTCTTGGCTTTGGTTCTGGCTTTCTCACTAACTAGCTCTGTGACCTTGGGCAAATCACTCCATCTCTCTGGACCTTTTTTTGCTTGTCTGTTCATTGAGGGGGTTGGATCAGGTTAATTTTTTGAAGATGTGATTTTTTAAACAAGAGCACCAACATTTTTTGTTTTTCAAAAGCTATTGGTAAGAAAGCTCTTGGCAGAAAATGGCCAAGCTGAAACATGTGAAAACTTTTTTCTTTCTCTGTTAGTCTAAGCTGTCTTATTGAGATGATGTTGAAATGCAGACCTCTCTTGCAGGCATGGAGGGACCTTTTGGCGGTGGTATGGAAAACATGGGTCGTTTTGGATCTGGAATGAATATGGGCAGAATAAATGGTAAGAATTGTTTGCTTCTGCTTTTCCTCACTCTTTGCTGGCTTTTAGGTTGCAGGTGACTTACAGGCTACAGGCCTGCTTTTAATAAATGATTTCTCACTTACGCTTTTCTACTGAGTCAAATGTCCTTGAATTGCTTTAAATATTTGAAAAGCTATACTTAACAGACTTAATTCACTTACTTCCTAAAGTCTTGAATGTCCTATGTTCCAAATCTCTCCCGTATTTTTGTCCAGTAAAGTTTGAGAGCTTTCTGTCTCTAGCACAAAAAGCACTGCACATCTGTGATTATGTTTTACATACTTTAAAATGGTCTCCAAGGCTGGCGTGGTGGCTCACACCTGTAATCCTACCATTCTGGGAAGCCGAGATAGGTGGATTGCTTGAGCTCAGGAGTTTGAGACCAGCCTGAACAAGAGTGAGACCCCATCTCTACTAAAAATAGAAAAATTAGCCAGATATTGTGGCGGCTGCCTGTAGTTCCAGCTACTTGGGAGGCTGAGGCAAGAGGATTTGCTTAAGTCCAAGAGTTTGAGGTTGCTGTGAGCTGTGACACCATGGCACTCTACCCAGGGGTGAAAAAGCGAGACTCCTTCTCAAGAAAAAGGTCTCTTTATATTTTTGGTAAGATTTCTCTAGGAGTGCTGGGGTGGTTAGTTTCTGATCATCTTCCCTGGTTGCAAATTATAGGCAAGACAATAAAAACCACAGTCTCAGGCCAGGCAAGGTGGCTCATGCCTGTAACAGCACTCTTGGAGGTGGAGGTGGGTGGATAGTTTGAGCTTAAGAGGTGGAGACCAGCCTGAGCAAAAAAAGCAAGACCCTCAACCCTGTCTCTACTAAAAATAGAAAATCTGAGGCAAGAGGAGCCCTTGAGCCCAAGATTGGAGGTTGCTGTGAGCATGATGCCATGGCATTCAACCCAGCTTGAGACTCTGTCTCAAAAAACAAAAACCAGTCTCTTTTAATTTAGTATTTATATAAAATTATATAAATTGTGGTTTACTATTATTCAAATCCTGTAGCTCTCCCCACCTCATAATTGAAATGTTACGTTGGCAATTACAACAACAATGTATTTCATTTAGTCCTTTTGAGAGTCATGTAATATGTAGGTACTGTTAACATCCATTTCATCAGAAACTGAGGCACAGAGTGACTTGCTTAAGATCAGATGTCTAGTAAATGGTGGTGCCTGGATGTGAACCCAGGCTGTCTGGCTCCAGAACCTGGATCTTCATCTTACGGTGACCCTGCCTTTTTTAGAATAGCCTCTAGCAAAGCACTTGCCCCCAGGACCCCAGTAGGGCTATAAAGTATGCATGAGAAATTAGAAGTCTTACCTTTTGAAATCCTGTTGGTCTACTCTTTGCCCGCTCCCTGTAAGAAAGCAGCTTCTTTTATACATAGAAACTTTTTCTGGAATGAGAAGTCTTTTGGGTTTAAATATTTTTTTTCTGGTCTGTAATAATGGGTGATGTGAAAATAGTATACAACAGTTAAGAACCTTACTAGGCTAGACATTAACTGTCAGACTTGAAAGGTGCCTATCTATCAAGTGGAACATACTGTTTTCCAGAGCATAGGGAGGAGGGAATGGGCTGTTTGTTGCCTTCTTCATGAGTTCCTTGTTCTGGAAGACGGTAAAATGATGGAGGAATGTCATCACCATTAGTAACAAAGTTCCTGCTGTGTTTTCATATTTGTTTAGGCTTGCTTGTGTGCATGAGATTTTAACAAAAAGTGATTTTGAGAAATCTGGTTTGATAACAGATTAGTCATTAGAAAGGAAATTTTTGTTTTGAAGAATAAAGTGGTGCAGTTGAGAAGTGAAAACCAGAGTGAGTGGGCCTGGGATCTGTGCTGTGCCTTAGAGTCCTTGGTGAATTCAGCAGTCAAGAGCCAAAAGATCAAAGACAAAAGATTCACAATGGAATGTGTGTTCTTGTGCTGTGTTCTAGATATTCTTAGGTACATGCACAGTCCTCCCTCTTCATCCTCCACAGTAGATCAGTGTTCTGAGATTTGGGTGCAATGAGCTTTAGAGCCTTTGGGCACTAGGTTCAAGGAAAGTTTACTCATAAATCACATTGGGAAAAGAACTGGTGGGCATTTTGGATTAAATTTAATGTTTTTTTTTTTTTTTTATTGAATGGTAACTGTGTACATTGATGCAGGATTAAATTTAATGTTTAATCGATGACTGATGTATCTGTTATGGTCACAGGTGCTAACTAATATTAGACTGATGAAAAGTCAGATTCTCAGGGCCAACCAATCAGTATAGGTCAAATCTTAATTAGAATAGTTATAAAAATTTTAAATCAAAAGATTGTCAAATACCAGACTGATTTGAGGCAGTATTTGATTCTACCTTTTTGTTTTTCCTTTGAGGGGAGCAGGGTGAATAAATTGAGGTTTACATAGATATTTGGGCTTTTGCCAGCTTATCTGCAGAGTGGGATGCTGCCTTCTTCATAGGCCTGTCTTAAGATGAAAGAACCGCAGAGCTCCATTCTGATGCCACTCTTGGGTTTCTCTTTTTAGTGCTGTGATATCATAGCTCACAGCAACCTCAAACTCCTGGGCTCAAGCAATCTTCTTGCCTCAGCCTCCTGAGTAGTTGGGACTAAAGGCACCCGCCACAGTGCCTGGCTGTTTCTAGAGCTGGAGTCTCACTCTTGCTCAGGCTGGTCTTGAACTAATGAGCTCAGGCAGTTCACCTGCCTCAGTCTCCCAGAGTGCTAGGATTACGGGTGTGAGCCACCTCGCCCGATCCTTGAGGTTTTTCTTTTGCCTAAGTGCCTCCTGCCTACCACCCTCCAGGCTCATAAGTGTCAGATATATTTTCAGCAGATAACATGCTGTTAACCTGTGGGGTCGATTCAGACTATGAATAATCAGCCTCCCCTTGCCAGTTCTTGTTAATTCATAATGCTTGCTTGCTCCCACATCTGTAATGGACTTTGGTTACTTCATCGCAGGGACTCCAGGTGCTTACAGACATATTTTGTAGTTTTATAAAGTAGGGTGTCCATTATATTGTCCCTCTTGTACCTGATAGTTCTAAGGAGTAAGATTAGTAATAGTAGATTCTTGAAGGGCCTCTTAATTTGAAGGGAGACAAAGTATGATCCACATTTAAGTCTTACAGGAGATGGATGCCCATACGAAGAAATACCTGGCAACAAGAATCATGAAAGGCATTCTCAAACAGGTGATAGCTATGGTGGACCTTTTCCCACAGAAGCTAAGAGCTTTGTTTTTGAAAGACATTGTAAAAAGTAACGGAGTTGTTACTAAAGCCCCAATGTGCAGATGAAAGCACTCCACTTGTCAATAGAGAAGTCTTGATGTGCAGGCATGTTTCTCTCTTCAGGTGTGCTTCTGTATTAGAGCATAGACTTTTGTGCCAGGCATGGTGAAGTTTGAAATCATTCACACCTCAGTTTCCTCGTAAAGGGGCAATGGTAGAGGAGGGTAAGAGGTGTGTGGGTAGTTGTGAGGAGTTGGTGGAATACTAGTGCACGATAGGTCCTTCATGCAGGGCAGGTGTAGAGTGCCCCATAGCTGGTGCCTGCTGCAGCCCTTCTGCGCCTGCCTGTCACTCAGCATGTGCTTAAGGGACTGATCGTTTACTGTGCTTGGCTGTGGTAGAAGTTGTGAGTCCTTAAGGGATTAAAGGTAGGTAGGTTGTTTTCAGGGGTTCACATGTAATGACTATCTTTATTTTTAAGGAATAAAGGATGAGTAATGACTTCCTATAGAAGAATTCAGCACAGTGGTTTGGTGGTGGCTGTTGGTTGTGTGTCTGTAGTTTACTTTTTAACATCTAAAACATGATGGCATTCCTGGAAAGGCCTAGGGTAATATTTTTTTCCACAGAGATGAAACATGGCATGGGTGGAGGATTTGAGAGAGACTTTGCCAGAAATGAGATGGGAATGTCTGGAAGCTTTGGAGAGCCCCTTGGCAAAGGAATGGGTAAGAAGGCCCCATGGGCCCCATGTGGGCGGGGTCCTCCCCCTTGGATACAGGCTGCCAAGGCTGGCCTGACATCAAGCTGATGTCAGGGTTTCTTTCTTGGACAAAGTCTGCTGTTTATTCTTAGGCTTTTTAAAAGAGTGTTATTTTTTTCTAGATCTAGATAAAAACTTTTGGTTCTTTAATTTTTTGTTGATGTCAATAACACCATCTGTCTTTTCAAATGGCTTCTTTTTAAAAATTGGCATAAGGGTTTTGCATGCTGTGGGAATGAAAATTGTTGCATTTAACATAACCCTGCTGGCTCTCTGGCCTTGGTAGTTTTTTAGGCCCTCAGAAGTAGGGCGCTGTTGTGTTGTGGTTGAGACAGCAGGATGGAGTTGAGGGCTGGCTTTTGAAAGAGGCCTGGGATGATAAGGGAGGCTTTCTAACACTGGAAAGCCTTGAATACCAGACTCATCTAAATGCAAAGAAATTATTTTTCAGTTTTGGGTACATCTTAGAGCAGTTTCTTCTTTACTTTTTCGTGGATGTTGAAAGGTGAAAGTGACATTGTCCTGTCTTTCTCTACCGTGTTTCCCCGAAAGTAAGACCTACCCAAAAAATAAGCCCTAGCATGATTTCTATGCATTTGTTAAATATAAGCCCTACCCGGATAATAAGACCTAGTGATGAGTGTGGCTATCCAGTGTATCTGCATAGCCACACCATGCATTTTGGTGCAGAGAGGAAGATATCCCCTGAAAATAAGCCCTAGCGTGTCTTCTTAAGAAAAAATAAATATAAGACAGTGTCTTACTTTCAGGGAAACACAGTATTTAGTGATTACGTGTTTCTAAGAATGTGTGTAATTCTCCATCATTTGTGCGGAGCAACAAGATTGGCCCTTCTTATACTCAGAAGTTGTTTCTCTCTGGCGGGGTGTTGTGGCAGGTGCCCATAGTCCCAGCTACTCGGGAGGCTGAGGCAAGAGAATCACTTAAGCCCAAGAGTTTGAAGTTGCTGTGAGTTGTGACAATGTCATGGCACTCTATTGAGGGTGACAAAGTAAGACTCTTATTTCAAAAAAAAAGCTTATTGTCATTTAGTCACACATACCTATTTGTGGACACCTGTGGCAAGAACGGATGAAGTGACTCTACTTTGATAGAAACTCTTTCTTGCTCTGACTCATCACTAGATTGCCACTCTGTGACAGCTCTCAGGTTTGTAATGAAGCTGTGCAGAAATAGTGCACCCAGAGATGGCTGTTGGCTTCTTGCCCATGAGGTTATTATTTCATGTGGCACAGGAAACTTCCTGCCCTGACCTGACTGGAAACATCATCTACAGGACTTTGCTGTCTCCTGCTGCCTTGGCATTTCTTTCTGATTGGGGTGGTGTAGTCTCTGTCCTGCAATTACCTGCTGCCACTTGTTATCAGGCCCAGGTGAATAAAATGGTCTTCATACCAAATAAAAATTGAACTTGGGTTTTTAGGCTGTTAGCTTGAGTTGGAGTTCTATTCGATTCTCCAACTCTTTTTTTTTTTTTGAGACAGTCTCAAGCTGTCACCTTTGGTAGGGTGCTGTGATGTCACAGCTCACAGCAACCTCAGACTCTTGGGCTTAAGCGATTTTCTTCCCTCAGCCTCCCAAGTAGCTGGGACTACAGGCACCCACCACAATGCTCAACTATTGTTTGGCTGTAGTTGTCATTGTTATTTGACAGGTCTGGGCTAGATTTGAACCCGCCAGCTCTGGTGTATGTGGCTGGTGCCCTAGCTGCTTGAGCTATAGGCACCAGCCCTTTTTTGCGGGGCTGTTTACCTGAGAGTCAACTTACTATGGTGCCACTTCTGTGGTACCTCCCTTCTCTTACATCAAAGCAGTGGATCTTGGCACTTCTTTATGCAACCAGCTATAGTTGGTCCTGCAAAAAGACAGATAAGTCTGTGATCTTTTGATCTTAGAGGGCATGGTACAGTGAGGAGACCATACTGAGAAAGGCTCAGAACAGCATAAGAGGCCAGTCCATTGACTGTCACAGTGAGATAGTGTGTGCTGTAGTTGGCAGTTGGCATGCCCTGCTCAAGCACTGGATCTACAGGAGTGCAGAATCTCCAAGCAGGAGATGCTGTTGCCGTTGGAGGGGCTGGGATCCAAGTGGGCTTGGCCCAGGCAGCAACTGTACTGCAGGTAGAGTGGCTGATGCCATCAGGTCCAGAGGTTTTGAGGTGAGGGTCTACCTGGGGTAGGGAATTAGCATAGGCAGAACAGAGGCTGGCAGGTTCGAACCCAGCCTGGGCCAGCTAAACAACAATCGCAGCTGTAACAAAAAAAAAAAATAGCTGGGCGTTGTGGTGGGCGACTGTGGTCCCAGCTACTTGGGAGGCTGAGGCAAGAGAATCGCTTAAGCCCAAGAATTTGAGGTTGCTGTGAGCTGTGACTCCATGTAACTCTACCCAGGGCATCTTTAAACCCAATTTAGGCTCGGGCATGACAATGAGCACCATAGATGTTGTGGAAGAATGACTCTGTACTTGATAGGAGACTGAAATTTGGTTTTTTGTTTGTTTTAAGACAAGGTCTCCTTTTGTTGCCTGGGTTGGAGTGCAGTGGCTTTATCCTAGGTATAGCCTCAAACTCCTAAACTCAAGCCATCCTCCTGCCTCAGCCTCCCAACAGCCATGCACCACCACACCTACCTAATTTACCTACTTTGCAGAGATGGGGTCTCTACAAAGTCCAGGCTGGCCTCAAAATCCTGGGCTAAAGGCTTGGCGCCCATAGTTGAGCAATTAAGGTGCTGCCACATTCACCATGGCTGGTGGGTTCGAACTCAGCCCAGGCCTGCTGAAACAACAATAACAACTACAACAAAGAAATAGTTGGGTGTTGTGGCAGGCGCCTATAGTCCTGAGGCTGAGGCAAGAGAATTGCTTAAACCAAGAGTTTGAGGTTGCTGTGAGCTGTGACACCATGACACTCTACGAAGGGCGACATAGTGAGACTCTGCCTCAAAAAAAAAAAAAAAAAAATAAAAAAAAAAAATCCTGGGCTCAAGCAATCCTTTTGCTTCAGCCTTCCAAAGTGCTGGGATTATAGGCAGGAGCCACTATACCCAGCCTCAAAGTCTTTTGTTTCTTACTGTACTTCCCACCTTTCTTTAGCAGTTAGTTTTGGAATACATGAAACAGCTGATTCAAACGGGTTTGAACCACTTTGTGGTTATGGTCATAATAAAAAATGTGCTTTGTGGCCAGTGTCCAGGTTGCTGAGCATTTATACTCTAGGACCAGAGAAGGTGGGTACAAGTGAGTATCTTCTATGTAACAAAAGAGTGACCAGAAACTTGAAAAGGTAACACTAATGACAGGTAGCATCTGACAAACTTAAAAGAGGTTTGGATGGGCTATGGGCAACTGAGCAGTAGTGTTTTCTGTTTATGATTATGTGTGTGTTGGGTGAGGGTATTTATTTTCTGGAAGCTTTATCCTTTAGTACAAAGCTAAAGGACACCCAACTCATTTCAAGAAGGGCTGGTGTGCTTGGGTTGCTGAAGTACTTCTACACACAGTTCGTTAATTATGTGCCCAGTGCTGTGTGCATGTGCTCCTGGCTTCATCCTGAGGCTATAAGTAGAGCTGTAGCTTTAGTGTGCTGGAGGGTCATGATAGGTGCTGATTGGCTTTGGGTGGGTGAATGTAGGCTTCGGCCTTCTGAAGAGATAGACAGGCCTTGGTTTTCAGCTCAGATGAGATGGGAAGCCTCAATCCTGGGGGTCTGGACCAACTTTAGAAAACTGTGCCTCTGGGCAAGGACTGACAAGCCATGTTGTTGCACCGCCTGAGTTTAGTCAATGGACACACACAGCTCCTGGCTTTGCTGGGCACATTCACAGGTGACCCTGCAAACTGGGCCTCAGACTCTGCAGCGACCTGGGATTCTAGCATTGTGACCCATCATCCTTTTCCATGAAATGATCTTGTCTATATGTTTATATTTCTTAACCCCTTCCCCTTTCTCCTTTTCTTTTTTTATTCACATTTTTATTGTTAGCATTTCTGCTTTGGAATCTGTAATGAGCAAATTTCTATTACCATAGAGAAATTTGGCTAATTTTTTTTTTCCTGATTTTCTTAGAAATCCTAAGTAATGCACTGAAGAGAGGAGAGATCATTGCAAAGCAGGGAGGAGGTAGGAAAACGCTTAGTTTGATGTTTTGTTTTTTAGAACAGGCTGTTAATATCGGGGATAGTAGAGCATAGCAGTGAGGTGCTTGGGCTCTGGTACAGACTAACCAGGGTGGGACCAGCTCCCCATCTCCTCACTGTGTGACATTTGGCAAGTCACTGAACATGTCTGTTTCTCATACTAATCTGTAAACTGGGGATGTAATAATACCTAACTCTGGGTTGTTATGAAGAGTAAATTAGCTTAATGCACATGAGTACTTATGTAATTGTTAGCCATTGTCATTGTACCCCTGTGATTTGGGAATTTTCTTGTTTTCTAGACACTAAAATTGTAAATTCCTAAAAGTAAATGTTTTTTCCTCATATGGTATATGTGCCTCCTTATATAAACTTGACTTATAATAATGAAAGTACAACCTAGTACATAACAAATGCTTACTAAGATATACTCATTAAAATTCAGAAAATTTGTATAGAAAGTAGATATTATCTGAAGTCCCAATGCCCAGTGAAGAATGAATGGTATAAACATTTTGGCCTGTATTTCATGAATGCGGTTTGAAGGTTACTTAAAATTAAATATGCTTTTCCAGCCGATTGTCCTCAAGGCTGAGTGTCTTGGCATTTCTTTGGCATCTCCCCTGCGTAGTGAGCTGTTTCTGTAGCTCTACACAGACACTGTTTCTTCCTTGTTTTCTGTTGCTGTTGGCATTGGTAATTGCCTTGTTTCTGATGCCACTGGGCAAACTACCCACCCTCACTACATCCCTTCCTCTTACAATGAGAGAAATTTAGACAGTTTCTGAGACATTTCTGCTCTGAAAGTCAGATGTTTTTAAGAGTGGGCTTGTTTTTGCCACTTGTTATGCTGCTGTTCAGCTAAGGAACCAGGCACAGAGAAGTGGAATGACTTGTCAAGGTCATGGCCTTGGTTAGTTTTAGAACCAGTTAGAGAAACTGCTTAGTGTCCTGTTGGGTTTGCATCATGGACTAGACTGCTTGGTCAGTAATGGGCTGGACCACCCATTCTCAATGGAGTAGTGATGAAGCTTGAGAGAGGGGCCTTGAGCTCAGTGTGTGCAAAGTGGTGGGCGGTGACCTCGCTGGGGGAGCCAGACCTTCCCTGTCCAGAGTTGCAGGCACTGCAGACAAGGGTCCTTGTGGACTGCTGACTGACCCTATGCCTCTTCCCAAGCTTGCTCTGCAGTGGTGCAGTGTTAGACACAGGTATCTCTGACACTAAGATCCCTGGAGGTGGCCTGCTCTGTGCGATTGTATGCAGAGCATCTACTTTGGTGCTTCTGTTTTATTTTTTTCTTCTCTCTACTTGATTACATGCCTATTTAGTCGCTTCTCTGTGTCTTAGAAGTGCATCCAGACTGGCCACCAACAGAGCATCTTAGAGGGACAGGTAGGAAAGGGTAAAGGTTGTGAGTGACTTTGCATCATCTCCATATAACTCCTGTCTATTACACTGGGTGGTTCCCCTTAGTGTGGGCTTTTCACACCTCCTCTGAGAGCATTTCTCAGTATCTGAAGGCGAAACCTCAGAGGTTCCAGGTATTGCATTGACATGTGTAGCTCACAAAGCTTGTCACAGGAAGTAGCACCTGAGAAAACATGGAAATGGGATTTTGTTCTTTTCTAAATTTTATTATGGAAATTGCGACTGTAGTAGTGTAGGAAGAATGATAAGGATTCCTTGTACTTATACCCAACTTTTAATAGTTGTTGATAGTTGAGGGGTGTCTTAATGGCAAATTATTGTGGAGCTTAATTCTCAGTTTGTGCTTGTAAACTGAAGTGCCCAGGCCTGGCATCATGTGCACACTCGTGCACTAGTCCTTGACACCCACCTGTGTTTTGTGTCCCTGTTTCAGGTGGAGGTGGAGGCAGTGTCCCTGGAATCGAGAGGATGGGCCCTGGCATTGACCGCATTGGTGGTGCTGGAATGGAGCGCATGGGCGCAGGCCTGGGCCATGGCATGGATCGCGTGGGCTCTGAGATTGAGCGCATGGGCCTAGTCATGGACCGCATGGGCTCCGTTGAGCGTATGGGCTCTGGCATTGAGCGCATGGGCCCGCTGGGCCTCGACCACATGGCCTCTAGCATCGAGCGTATGGGCCAGACCATGGAGCGCATTGGCTCTGGCGTGGAGCGTATGGGCGCCGGCATGGGTTTTGGCCTCGAGCGCATGGCCGCTCCCATCGACCGTGTGGGCCAAACCATTGAGCGCATGGGCTCTGGTGTGGAGCGCATGGGCCCTGCCATTGAGCGCATGGGCCTCAGCATGGAGCGCATGGTGCCCGCGGGCATGGGGGCTGGCCTGGAGCGCATGGGCCCCGTGATGGATCGCATGGCCACCGGCCTAGAGCGCATGGGCGCCAACAACCTGGAGCGGATGGGCCTGGAGCGCATGGGCGCCAACAGTCTGGAGCGCATGGGCCTGGAGCGCATGGGCGCCAATAGTCTGGAGCGCATGGGCCCTGCCATGGGCCCAGCCTTGGGCGCTGGCATTGAGCGCATGGGCCTGGCCATGGGTGGCGGTGGCGGTGCCAGCTTTGACCGTGCCATCGAGATGGAACGTGGCAACTTTGGTGGAAGCTTCGCGGGTTCCTTTGGTGGCGCTGGAGGCCATGCTCCTGGGGTAGCCAGGAAGGCCTGCCAGATATTTGTGAGAAATGTGAGTGTTTCTTAGTGGTGGTGTGCACATGGGGAGGAGGGAGGCAGGGGGTTGATGGGACTGAATGATGGCAGGTCCAGGTCAGTGGTGATACCCCCTAAAGGGGGACCAAATAGCATGGGTAGCACACTTTTTCCTTGTCTCCAAAGGTTGGTGCAAGTGGGACAGGGAGGAAATGTGAGAACTTTTCAGCTTCAGCACTTGTATGGCAAGATGTTGAGTTCTGGGAGAGCCTGGGCTTTTCCAGCATGCTAGACTATAGAGTAGCGTTTGAGTGCAAAGGCTCTAGTTTCTCATCCTGTGGCATGAAGAGCCACTAAGTCTTGGCAGGATGATTCAGAGAAAGAGGTGGCTGAAATTGAATTATCTTTCCCAACTAGGCTACCTTTAGCCATTGTGGAGGGATTTTTGTGAGCCACACACTACAGGCCCCAGGTGTCCCCCTTTGGGCACAGTTCTCCCCCAGAGAGTACTCTGGATAGTGAGCTGGCTGTGCTGCTTTATATAGCCTTATCCCAGATAGACTTGTTTTGTTCTCTGCTGACCAGCTGAGTCTGAAGGGAAGCCAGCTTCTCTGAGTAATAAGAAATACTCAAGGTGACCCCCTCGAGCCAGCCGTGAGGTCTGTGCACTGGATTTGGTTTAATTGTACATCAGTCTTCTTTTTCTTCCCCCTCAGCTCCCATTTGATTTTACATGGAAGATGCTAAAGGACAAATTCAACGAATGTGGTAAGTGTGTGAGAAAGGCTTGTTAGGTGCTTTGTGTGCTGTGGTTTGTTGGTGGCACCACTGAGTTGAGCAGTGAAGCTCCCTCCTTGGTCTTCACAGCCTTCCCATTGACTCCAGAGGACTAATGGGCCTTGCCGTTTTTCTACCTGTGCAGATATTCACGCAGGTTGTTGAGTGTTGTCAGGTGTCAAACACTTTTCGCCTGTGTTCTCATTTTCATCTGTAGCTTTCCTTTCTTCCTATTTGGGATTTTTGGAAGGAGTCGATGTTGTTGCCATTTCACAGATATCAGGCAAACTTAACCTTCCTAAGGGTACATAACTTCTAAGTGGCAAAGCTAAGTAACTACATCCCAAAGAGATCGTGCCCCCTTTCCCCCCAGCACAGCTGGTTCTGTGGCTCTGGGCACACTTAGCAGTATGTAGAGGTGAGGCTCAGGGTGCCTGATGGTGGTTTCCTGGCACATAGGCCTCCCTCTGTCTTCTTTCCTTGCCCTCCAGGGTGAGAGCCCAATCTCACCCTACTGCCTCTGTTCTTTTCAGTGTATCAACCCTAAGCCAGAGGAGGCTTGGTAGCTGTTGCCTCAGGGCTTCCCCAGGGTTCTCTCTCTTCCTGTATCAGCAGTGGCTCAGATTTCACAACCATTGCTGCTTCTCCCTGGTTCTTCTCTGAGGGCAAGCTATTAACTAATGGCTACCCCCCCCTTTCCTTCCTCAGTTTCCACACTTATAGTGAGATGATCCAAATGGTCAGATGGGATCAAGCCATTCCCCCTGCTTCTGAGATGTCTGGAGGGCTCTGTGCCTATAAGAGAAAGTCCATACTCCAGCCCCTTGAAGACTTGGTCCCATCCTTCTCCTCTGTTTTCTTCCTAAATCTGAGCCATAAATGCTACAAGTCCTCAAGATGCTCTGGGGCCAGCTGTTACTAGGAAGTCTTCCTTCTGGTGAATTTCCACTTAAGCTCTTAGGACTTCTCCAGAAACTTCCCCACCTCATGTTGGTCCTCTCCCTGGCAGAGCTAGTGCTTCTGGAATGGTAGGCTTCTAGGGCACATACCCTGTAGACCTGACCTGCCTTTGCAGTGTTGACACATTACGAACAATGTTATTTGGGATGCTTGATGAGTGCTTGAATAAGTAAGCATGACCTGCTTGCTGATTATGACCTGGCTTACATTTGGGCAGTACAGAAGTGTCAGGTGGATTGGTGATGGCTTTATAATGGGAGTAGTGTATATTGAAAATGAGAACTCTAAAATTTGCCTATAAAGTTGCCTTTATGTGGCCCCTTCTTTTTTTGTACCTTCTGGGATGTAAGGGCATACACATGAAGCCTCATCATGGTACACCCAGACTGTTATTTTGTTAGAAGGGCAATGTGGCAAGGGCCTATATAGTCACTGGTTTCTGCCATTGTGTTCTTAGCATTCGTGTTCCAGGCATGGAGGCCTCTCTCCTTTTTGCCTTTGTCAACCAAAATCCAACAGGTATTCTGGACTGAGTGGAGCCCAGACAGGCTGAGCTCTGGTTTTGTCTGATGAGTGTGGTCTCTTCTTCCCTCCCTGTGCCAGGCCACGTGCTGTATGCTGACATCAAGATGGAGAACGGGAAGTCCAAGGGGTGCGGTGTGGTTAAGTTTGAATCTCCAGAGGTGGCTGAGAGGGCCTGCCGGATGATGAATGGCATGAAGCTGAGTGGCCGAGAGATTGATGTTCGAATTGATAGAAATGCATAAGCAGTTGCCTTTTTTAAACATCGGTACCAGACCTCTGAATTTGTATTTTTTCTTGTTAACCATTTTAATTTGTTGGCTGGATGTATAAAGATGTTTAAAAAATTCAGTTGCTTTTGGGGTAATTTGAATTACTTTTTTAATGACTGGGGTTCCATTTGACTGTTTGCATTGAGATTGCAATGTGTGCAATTTTTTTTGTAGTTGTGGCATCTTGTTGACATCAAATATGACTTTGATAATAAATACCAGTTCCTGAAATCAGCTTGCTCATGTGTGTGTTATGGGGGCAACCATCCAAGGTTTGGGGAGCTGGAGCTGCTTGTGCTCCCAGTTTCCCTTGGACTACCAGGCATCTCTCCTGTTATTCCTGGTCCAAGAGCCTTGGGGTAGGAGGACCATGGAAAACTCTTCTAAGGTACTGCCTTCTGAGTGTTATTTATTTTTATTTTGTTTTTTGAGACTTAGTCTCTGTCGCCTGGGTCAGTGGTTCTGAACCTTCCTAATGCCATGACGTATTTTCATTGTTACAAAGGGGTTGCGACCCATAGGTTGAGAACCACTGCCCTGGGTAGACTCCCATGGTATCCTCATAGCTCACAGCACCCTTTCAGGTTTTTTTTTTTAGAGACAGAGTCTCACTTTATCACCCTTGGTAGAGTGCTCTAGCATCACAGCTCACAGCAATCTCCAGCTCTTGGGCTTAGGCAATTTGCCTGCCTCAGCCTCTCAAGTAGCTGGGACTACAGGTGCCCACCACAACTCTGGGCTATTTTTTGTTGTAGTTTGGTTGGGGCCAGGTTTGAACCCTCCACCCTCAGTATATGGGGCTGGCGCCCTACTCACTGAGCCACAGGTGCCACCCCTGCTTTTCTATCTTTAGTAGAGACAGTGTCTCCACTTGCTCAGGCTGGTTTCAAACTCCTGAGCTCAAGTAATCCACCGGACTCAGTCTCCCAGAGGGCTTGGATTTTTTTTTTTAAATTTCTTTTTCTAGAGACAGTCTCACTATGTTACCCTAGGTTGAATGCCTGGCGTCACAGCTCATAGCAACCTCCAACTCCTGGGTTTAGGCGATTCTCTTGCCTCAGCCTCCCAAGTAGCTGGGACTACAGGCACCTGCCACAAGGCCTGGCTATTTTTTTGTTGTAGTTGTCATTGTTGTCTAGCAGGGCCAGTTTGTGGCCACCACCCTAACTATTGAGCTACAGGTGCTGAGCCCCAGAGGGCTAGGATTACAGATGTGAGCCACCATACCTGGCTTTCTGAGTGGTTTATTCACTAGTGCTAATAGTGGAGGGTTTCACTATTTAGAGCTGTCTTGAAAGACACCCTGTCTCCTCCTTTTTGTGCCATTATTCTGTGGGGCACAGGCTCCATGTCAGGTTCATTTCCAGTTTGGTTTTTTTTTTTTTTTTTTGCACTAAAACAGACCAAGCAGTTTCTAAGCATATTCAGCCCTATCAGAGATTTGAGTTGAATTTAATACCCAGGCTCCATAGAGTTGGGTGTTGTCCCCACCCTCCAACCAAGGATGTGCCCTTCTAGATCACTAGGGCAGATAGGTGTGTGCAGGCTTTCAGCTCCCAACTGCTGCTGTCCTTGTTGGATGTGGAAGGTTGGAGGGTGTGAGTGCACATCCTGCTCAGCTCCCTCCCCATCCCTTTTCCTGGCATGTGATCACCCATGGTCCCTCCCACCTTGATCCCTGAAGTATGAGACCGTGGGGTAGGGTGCCCCCAGAGACACACTTGCTCCCTGGCATTTGATCACATGGCTTCCTGTGCCTTTTCTGCACTGTACATTCCAGTCAGGAGGAAAGAAGAGACAAGAAACAGTGATTGCTCAAAGAGGTATTTTATGTGCCCAGATGGAAACCTGGGCATCTCTGTGACTTCGCCAAGCAGCAGTCTGGGGCTCCTCCGTGAGCAGGTGCTGGGCTGGCGGCTGCCCTGAACTTTCAAGCCTGTGGCTTTATGGTCCCTGGGGGAGTAGGAGGTTCTCCAGAGGGTCTGCCAAGGAAGGGAGATTTCCATTGACCCCTCTCCCCAGAAGTATACAGTAGTGAGCAGCCTTTCCTGGCTGCCACCGTGCCCCCTCAACCTCCTGGAGCACCGACATACCCCAGAAGCCGACGTCATCATACACCTCTGTTTCCCTGGCAGAGAGCATAGTTGGGTTAGCATGGGCGCCCTGGCTGCCACTCACCCACCCTTTCTCAGTGAGGACACTCACAGGGGCAGGAGGGCTGTCCTGGGCACATAGCCATCTGTGAAAGAAAGCAGGCATGGTTGGTCCTGGGCCTGGGGACTGGATAGCCTTCCCAGGGCCACAGGGTGGCACTCACACTTGCCCTTGGGGTCCCGACACAGCATCTCCTCCTTGCTGGTGAACTCGATCACCTCCAGGATCTCCCCACGCCGGATGCCCAGGTGCTTGCCGCCCCCACGGCGGGTCTTTGCATTGGGGTCAATCATCATCTTTGTGTGAACTACAATCTCCCCTTCAAACTGGAGGGTCAGATGTCAGAACTCTTGCTCAGTCCATCACCCCGGGGCACCCGTCATCTTTCTGAGGACGAAATTTGTGGGGCCCAGGTCCCAGCCCTCCCAGGACTATTGCTTGGTGTCCACACCTTGAACTTCTTTCGGAACTCTCTCTCAGCTTTCTCCGCCTTCCTGATCTGCTTCAGCAGCTTGGGGTCCGTGGGTGGCAACTGCTGTGGCTGGGAAGCCTTCTCCTTCCTGATCCCCAACCCACCCATCCCCCATCCCAAGGAATTTGGATGCTTGTAAGTGGGCACCTCCGTCCACTGTCCTCCCAGAGCTCTACCCTGCCCTGCCCTGCCCCCTCTGCCCTGTGGCACCTGGATACTGGGTCTTGTGATGGTCTCCTGGTGTCTTGCTGGGTCGATGGCATTTCACCTGGGGGTGGTCAGGGCAGGCACCATTGGTTTAACCTCTACCCTGGTAGCTGGATCATGAGTGAGCCATTCCTGTGTCAGGTCCCTTCTCAGCCCCTCACTGCCCACCTTCCCCAGGCCTTTCTCAGGGAGTTATCAGTTCTGGTGTGTTGCCTTGTGTTTCCTTAAATTTCTGCTGCATGCTAGGTGTGGCAGTTGCTGCTGGGCTACCTTCACTTACTGTGACCTTCACATCATTTATCATGCTAATAGAAATACTATCATTCCCAGCTTGCCCAGAGAGGTCAAACAAGCAACCTAAGCTGCACAGTGATGGAGGCAGGACTGACTGACTAGGCCCATTTCACTTCTAGCAGTTTAGGTTTTGGAAACTATAACGAGATTTGGGTGAAAACATACCGCAGAGTGGGGAGGGAAGGGAGATGTTGGTGAGTAGGTACAAAATTAGAAATAGGAGGAGTGATTTCTGGTGTTTTGTTGAACAGTAGGATAACAACAGCTCAAAGAGAGGCACGAGGTTACAGTTTTGTTTTTCTTAGACACTCACTTTGCTGCCCTTAGTAGAATGCCGTGCTATCATACCTCACAGCAACCTCAAACTCTTGGGTTCAAGTGATCCTCTTGCTTTAGCCTCCCAAGTAGCTGGGACTACAGGTGCCCGCTACAACGCCCAGCTAGTTGTAGAGATGAGCGTCTCATTCTTGCCCAGGCTGGTCTTACCCGGCCTCAGATTCCCAAAGTGCTAGGATTACAGGCATGTGCCACCAAAACCAGCCTTAAGTAATTTTTTTAAAAATGCCTCTGGGGTGGTGCCTGTAGCTCAGTGGGCAGGGCGCTGGCCAAATACGCTGGGGTTGGCAGGTTCGAACCCAGCCTGGGCCAGCTAAACAACAGTGACAACTGCAACAAAAAAATAGCTGGGCGTTGTGGCGGGCACCTGTAGTCTCAGCTATTTGGGAGGCTGAGACAAGAGACTTGCTTAAGCCCAAGAGTTTGAGGTTGCTGTGAGCTGTGATGCCACAGCATTCTATCAAGGGCGACATAGTGAGACTCTGTCTCAGGAAATAAAATAAAATAAAATGCCTCTGGGGTAGAACCCAAGGGATTTCCCAGTGTAAGGGCCGACCTTGCCCTCTTTGTCAATTCCTGGGAAATGACCAGGAATTCTGTGTATAAGCCCTTTTGGCCAGAGTTTTGGCTTTCAGGAACTCCAGATGAGTAAAGAATCTGGAACCCCAGGCCCCAGTTGTGCTTCTCTGAGTGACTTGGAGCATCACTCTGGACATTTCATCCAGCTGTCCCTCCCTCCAAGCAGCCCAGGGAGGGGTACATAGGTTATCTCTGTCTACCATGATAGATGCCGTGCTTGGCCATCCACAGTACCTCCAACTACTTCTGCCTCTCTCTTGGTCACCTAGCCAGAAGCAAACTTGGCTCTCGAACCCCAGGGACCCTACAGACCCACTATAGCAGAGTACTTCCCTGGGTGCTGCCACACAGCCCTGGTTCACCTGCAGTGAGACCCCAAGTGGACCACTCTGAGCAAGCCAGTCTTCCCCATGAAGCCTGCTCATTTTCTGGGAAAGGCTGGGCCCTGTCCCCCTGTGAAGGAGCACTGTCGTCCCTAACGCCACCTCTGAAGCAGAGCTGGGAGTCCATCCCAACCAACCAGTGGAAGGATAGACTTGCAAAGTGGCAAAGCTGCCCTTGAGACACGGTTACCAACAGGGAAGTGAGGCAGCAGTGATTGGCAAGGAATGGGGAGAAGGTTGTCTGGTGACAGAGACAGTGAGCCAAGGATGGGGGTTGGGTGGGTTTTGGAGAGAGGGAGCTGTTCCTAACCTCAGGAGGGGTGGGGCTAGTCATCCACATCCCCAAGAGTGGCCCCCAGACTCAGGCCACAGAGCCTCCTCTGGAGCGGAAGCAGGAGCAGCCCTTTCAGGAAGCTGTGTGCTAATAGTGAGGTGTTGTAAGCAGCTCCTGGGGAAAGCTTAGAAGCAGAAGGGGCCCAGGAAGAAGCAACTGCAGCCAGGTTCTGTACCAGCACCTAGGGCTGGTTGGCAGAGCACAGTAGCATGCTGAAGGCAGAGCTTGAGAGAGAGGGTTCCCCTGCAGGAAACCTTTCCATAGATAGTATTGGCAACCCTGCAGCTCTATGTGCTGTGAGTGAGCTGGGTCTTCACAGATCCTCAAACTCTCACATCCATAAAATGGGGATAACATTACTTTGGTGGCAGGTGCAGATTCAGGGACGTGCACACAAAGTGCTTACATGGAAACCCTTTGCTTTCATGAAGGCCTTAACTGCCCTCACTTGGAAGATGAGAAGGGTCCTTTGGGACCTCAGAGCAGAACAGTGCCCTGAAGGCAGAGCTGCCCAGGGTCCTGGACAGAGCAAGAACCGCCATACCTGCCCTTCTCTGAGCTCCAGACCCAAGTCCTGACTGGCAGGTATCTTGTCTCCAACCCAGGGGAAAGCTTCTGCTGTCTACCCTCACAACTTGGGATCATCCCTCCTGTGAGATTTCTGCTCTTGCCCTGCAGTGTACTTGTGACCTCTCACTTCTTCATTGCTCCCATGCCTCCTGCCACTGCCCTGGGTCACGCCTCTGCCTTCTCACTAGCTGTGGCCTCAAGGCTGCCCATCATCACAAATCTCACACACCAGAAGCCAGCAGGGACTGAGATTGTGGCAGACAGTGCCCTTGCCACAAATGTTTCACAAGTGCCCATGCAGGCCTCCAACAAACCTCTGCCTTTGGGGCTGGGGCTCGAGTTGTCTGTGGGCTCCACATCGTCATACGTCTCATAGATCTCCTCCAGGTCCCTGCAGGGATACCTGAGATGAGGCTTCACCCAGCTCCACAACTTGTACCCATCCATGTTTACTCCCCAAACTCACTGTGGGATATCTGCAGACTGTGGGGCCTGGAAGTGAATCCTGGTAGAAGAACGGGTCCTGCGTAGATCTGTGGGGGAGAGAAGAGTATAGGAGGGAGGATGGCTTTGCCCAGGTCCTCAGCCCCTCCTCTGTGCCTGTGCCACCCACCTGCAGCTGCCCTGGACAATCTCTGAAAGCTCTGGATGTCCAAGGGGCCGGGAGGCAGGGGGGGTTTTGCTGGAGGGGGTCCCAGGCTGCTGACAGAGGGCAGAGGCCTCCATCGGGGTGGCTGACCAGGTTTGAGGCCTCCTGACCTCCACTGGGGTATCCCAGCAGCTCCAAACCCAGGGTGGCTGGAGCCAGCAACAGCGGTGGGTAGTGAGCTCTCTGAAATGGAGCTGGGAAGCAGGGGCTTTCTAGGAAGATAGGAGAAAATCTCAGCCTTCAGATGCTTCTTGGGCACAGAGTTGGGCTCAGGCTGTGAGAACTTTCGTGGTGGCCTTCTGCCCTCAGGCTGCAGAAACCTCCTGGGAAGTGAGCTGAACTCTGGCTCTGAGGATGTCCTGGAGAGGCTGCCCACCTCTGGCTGCAGGGCTGCCTTGGAAGGCACTTTGAGTTCTGGCTGCTGTGGCCTTTTAGGAAGCACGTTGACTTCAGGTTCTGAGGATGTCCTGGTAAGATCACTAAACTCAAGTTGTGGGGGCTTTAGGGGGAGGTTACTCAGCAGAGGTTGCAGGGCCTTTTTGGGAAATACACTGCCATCAGGCTTTGGGAAGTGGGGGTGGAGCTCACTGGATTCAGGCTTTGAGAGGGTCATCTGAGAGGCCTCACTGAAGTCAGGCTGCAGCAGGGACTTCTTAGGGAGGCCACTGACCTGAGGCTGCAGGTACTTTCTGGGGTATGCATTGAATTCAGGCTGTGGGGGATTTTTGGGAAAGGAACTGAAGTTGAGCTTTGGGGACAGGGGCTGGGGCTCGCTGGGCTCAGGTTTCCAGAGGGGTGTCTGAGGTGCCTCACTGACCTCAGGCTGTGGCAGGGACTTCTTAGGGAGGCCACCGACCTGAGGCTGCGGGAGCTTCTGGGGGAGGTCACTCAGCAGAGGTTGTGGGGCCTTTATGGGAAGTGTACTGAAATTGGGCTGCGGGGAGTGGAGGTGGAGCTCACTGGACCCAGGCTTTGAAAGGGTCGTCTGAGGGGTCTCACTAAAGTCGGGCTGTGGCAGGGACTTCTTAGGGAGGCCACTGATCTGAGGCTGTGGGGGCTTCTTGGGAAAGGTACTAAACTTGGATTGTGAGGGCTTCTGGGTGGTCTCACTGGATTCAGGCTGTTGGAACTTTCTGGGGAACGCACTGAATTTGGGTTCTGAGGGGGACCTGGCGGGTTTGCAGAGCTCAGGCTGCAGGGGCTTCAGGACAAGTGCACTGGGCTCCAGCAGCAAGGCATTCCGAGGGGCCTCACTGACCTCAGGCTGTGAGGGCTTCCTGGGAAACTGAGTGGCCTCCAGTTGTGGGGACTTGGGGAGGTCAGCAAACTCAGGCTGCGGGGGCTTCTTGGGGAACTGAGTGGCCTCAAGCTGTGGGAACTTCTTGGAAAGTTCACTGAACTCAGGTTTGGAAGGCTTTTTGGGGAGGTCAGGGAGCTCAGGCTGCAGAGGCTTCAGGGACACTGCACTGAACTCAAGTTGCAAGGGCTTCTTGGGTTGCTCGCTTAGCTCAGGCTGAGGAAACTTCTTAAGTTTGTTGAACTCAGGCTTTGGGGGTTTGGGGGGGAGTTCACTGGGCTCAGCCTGAGAGGCCTGGAACTTTGCTTGGAGGCTCCGGAAGTCCTGTTGGCTCTCCTAGGGGACACGGGAAACCATCAGGCAGGGGCTCAAACACACAGAAGTATCAGAGTGATAGGTACCTGGGGACCATCAGACACAACCCACCATCACCACCACCCTGTTCCCTCTGCTCCTGGACGCCACACTCTCCTGACTTCTCTTAGGTGCTGAACCTACATCCATCCTGCCTCCAGCAGGACTCAAGCCCCCAGTTCCCCTCTCCCCATTGGGTGGTGCCTCTTGAGCATCTCAACCTTTTCTCCCATGTCCTTGTCATGTCCCAGTCCCTTTTGTGCTAACTTCAAAATATATCCAAATCTACCCACTTCTCACTGCCTCCACCACCATCAGACCGGCTGCAGGCATCGTCTTCTGTGGCCTGGATGATTATAACAGGCTCCTTCCTGTTCCACTGTGTGTCCCCCCCTCCCAGACTCGGTCTCCAGTCAGTGCCCCCCATAGCAGCCAGAGGAAGAAGCCCATTGAGCCCTGAGGTGCTTTATGCCCAATTCAGCAGTGGTTTTCTCATATCATCTCTGTTCAAGCTATAGGCCTCCTCAACTCAGTCACTACCTCCTTGCTACTCCCTAAACATTTGAGAACTCTACCTCCCTTCTGCTGGCCTCTGTCCTGCCCCTGACCTTCCACGACCCTTCCCCTGGACCTTGTTTGTCTCCTCTCCTTCCTCTATGTCTGTGCTAACATTTACTCATTAGAGAGCCCTCCCGAGACCACCCTATTTTAAATGGATTCCCCTTCTGGGTGATTTCTTTCTTTTTTTTTTTTTTT